CCTCTTTCCACCCTCTTTCGTCTCTCTCTCACCCTTTTTCGACCTCTTTCACCCTCTTTTCGTCCTCTTTCACTCTCCTTTGTCTTCTCTCACTCTCTTTCATTTTTTTTCACCCTATTTCATTTCTTCTTCACCTCTTTCGTCCTCTTTCACTCTCCCTTCGTCCTCTCACCCTCTTTTATTCTCTTTCACCACCCTCTTTTGTCCTTCACTCACTCCTCTCTCACCTCTTTCACTCTCCTTCGTCCTTTCTTACCCCTCTTTCGTCCTCTTTCACCCTCTTTTCGTCCTCTTTCACTCCACCTCACCTCGTTCTTCCTTTCACCCTCTTTCGTCCTCTTTCACTCCTTTCACGCCTTTTCGTTCCTCTTTCACCCTCTTTCGCCCTCTTTCGTCGTCTCCTCTCGTCTCCTCTCCACCCTTTTTCATTCCCTCTCACCCTCTTTCACCCTGTTTCGTCGTCTTTCACCCTCTTTTATTCCCTCTCACCGTCTTTCGTCCTTTTTCACTTTCTTTCGTCCTCTCTAACCCTCTTTCATTCTTTCTCCCCCCTTTTAATTGCAATGAGTTTAAAAGTAACAATTTAATTTTAATATCATTAGAATATTATTTAGCAGCGCGCCCAGTTTTTTTAACTAAAATTTTATTATTTCTTTTTATTTTATATTAATTTTAAATTTGCATAAGTTTTTAAATTTTAATTTTTGACTTGGCATCTTGCATTTTAGAGCAGATAAATTTTCCAATTTTTGCTGTATCAAATAATTTTACTTTTTTTTTTAACTTTATCGGTGTGTACACACAAAACATTTCTTTGAGTAACATAATTTTATATCATTTAATTTTCTTTCTAAAATATTTATAGCTAATTTCATAAAAATTTTAGATCAGCTTTGACATAGCTTATACATCTTTTTTCGGACAATGATTTATAAATCGCCTTTTTTATTTACTCTTATTAAAAGTACATTTATTTTAGTAGTAATAAGAAACTACAAATTAAGTAGAATATAAAAGTGGCCTCCTCTGATATTATTAATGAAGAATAATCATGTTTCTCTTGTTACATAACATGTCAAAATATCAAAATTGATAATTTATATATGCCTCCTTAAATGTGTAATAGAGCATATTATAACTTCTACATACATTTCTAAATATAAGAATTAATATTTCAATGAGAAAAACTGCTGGTCAAAAATAAACTCTTCAAGTTTTTTTTTGCAAGCAATTAATGCATTTAACAGAACAAATCACAGTTCAGTATGAATCATACATGTATTATATATAGAGCTTCGACAATGAAAAGATATATCACTCTTTCTATAGTACGAAAAATGAGGTGGTCAATACATAATAATGATATAAAAATATTAGAATTTAGTTTTGAACTTTGAATATTTAAGATAAGAGAAAAAAAATAATCTTATAAAAGTTTGGGTATCATTCACGGGCAAGTCAAGAAATATTTTTCAAATTATATATTTTTTAATTCATATTTTAAGGCATTATAAAAAAGAAAAAAATTAGAAGATTTATGAGAATAGACACGTACAACATATATATGTGCGTACTATACAAGATGCACTAATGCATTCTCTAAAATTTACTTGCTACTGTAAGCAAGCAAACTCTGTAGGATTGCTAGGAACTTAACGGCATTGAGGCAGCTGTCACAAGAACCGAAAGCAATTAATTTTTTATTACTCTAATTATATGTCTATTATTATTTTATTTTTATTATTGTAATTATATTATATATATATATATATATGTTATTCAAGGTGCCAGTTCAAAGTGAACATACGTAAAGTGTATATTATCTAAATTTAGTAATAATATATTACCATGAAAAATAACTGTGATATTTTATTCAAGGTGCAAGTTCACATTGAACATACATACATATAAGTAAAACTGATTACAATTTGATTCTAGAAAATAAGTGCGATATGTTATTCTTAGTGCACAAAATATAATAGTCGTTTATAGAGATTTGATTTGAAATTCATACTAGCCCGTACAATGAAAAATAATTGCTCGTAATTCCAGAGTACCAATTTGTTAATTACTCAGAAAAATAACATGGCGGCCTGCTCTCAAAAACTATGATGTTTCTCGATGTCCATTTAGAAATAATGTCGAAGCTCTTACAGAATAATTACTACAACATTTGAAGTACGAAAAGTATTACAACTCACGTAAATTTCCGCACCATGTTCTACACCGGACTGTTTCCTTAAAGAAAAAAATATACATATATGTATATTATGTATAATCTATCATAAATGTATATATTATGCATATGATTTAATATTGTTATATTTACCTTACTAATGGCACAGGTATATCACGTACGCTCTTCCAGTTTTCAATAACCACGTATGACAAGTGTCGGATACATTTTTAATCCATCTGATCGAAACGCAGGATTTCTACAAATTATAATATTTATATAACAATATATAGAAGTAATAAGAAATAATTAAGTTAATTAATATGTACAAGCTAGAGAACCATTACTTACAATAAATTGATATACATCTCGTTCAAAGTCAACATTTGGTAAATCTGACATCATGTGAACTATCATCACTTTGAAGACTTTAAATATTCTGATGTATTCGTATATTATGTGATATATTTTTTATATTATATATAATTACATATATGCAGTATTGCATATCACATGTTTAGTATATCATAAACATATTCTTTTATCAGGAGACGCGGTAGTGTCTCCGGCCATGTTTCAAACCCTAAAGACCTTAAAAGACACTACAAGTCTCCTTATCCTGCACCATCAAAGTCCATTTTTTGGGGGTGTAGAACTATTAAAATATAAAAAATTTTGAATTGCAAAAAAGCACTTTAGTTATTTTGCATTTTTTAATTTATTTAATTTTTTAATGTTTTTAGAATTTCAAAAAGAGGTTATAAGAAAATTACAATTATTGCTTAACAAAATGACTGCTCTAGAAAATAGAATGATATTGCTAGAAACATCAAACATTATGCGGCATAGGGAGGAAGAAACAGTCAACAATACTATATTATATGAGGAGTATGATCTTCCATTACAAAATATGCAAGCATTAGAACGATTAGAACAGCTATTAAAAACTAGCTCATTTGCAGATAAAATGGTAAATATGTAGTTTTATATATATAACATATTCATATATATATAGGTTTAGTTAACAATATATATATATATATATATATATATATATAATTTTAGTTGATAATATTTCATATTTTAAATTAATAACGAATTTCTTCTTTTCTCTATCTTGTCTCTAGGTAAACACGCTGAAACAAGTGGGTGGAGTGAATTTGTCCAATATAATCCCAAATATGTTAAAAAAGTTACTAAGCGACCATTTTGCACAGACTTTCAGTTATTTAGGACAACGAAACAAGAAAAATTTTAGTGCTCTAAAATTATGCTCAATTGTGAAGAGTGAGTATTACATGAAACTCAAACAATCGATTCTGCCATATTCAAAACAACAAAACATAGACGAGACTATCCTTATTCACAAATTGTTCTTAAAATATTTGAGTTATAGAATAGAGTATTTCTAGTACCAGATTTGATGCTTTCAATAATGAAGTTATATTTATTTTCATATTAACATAATAAAAATTTTCCATAAAAATATTTGTAAAAATATTATATCAATATAAAATTATTCAGGAAATACATATGTTAGTACATATTTATATAGAGTTACTAATTCACACACACACAATGCATAGTTTACACAAAAAAGTTAAATAAAAATCTCAAAATAATAAGTTTAAATATAGTAATGCATAGTATAAAAAAATTTACTTATATGAAACACTATAAATATACATATATAATTAATGCATGAAATCTCAATATATTTGTTCAGGAAATATATATACATATAACATTTGACATTATTATATCAGGAGACGCGGTAGTGTCTCCGGCCATGTTCAAACCCTAAAAGACCTTAAAAGACACTACAAGTCTCCTTATCCTGCATCATCAAAGTCCATTTTTTGGGGGTGTAGAACTACTAAAATATAAAAAATTTTGAATTGCACGTAATATAACCTGAAAGGCGGCATCGCCACGAGTAATTTGAGCCAAGAAAAAATAAAATCGGTCAAGCCGTTCTGGAGATACAAGCGGTCAAAAAGTGACGTTTTTCATGAAAAATTAAGAAACGTCGTCTTCTTCTTCTTCTTCTTCTCTGTCCGCGTCCGCTGACGTCATCAGGATTATATATATATATATAAATCTCTTCTCACCTTTCACTCACACCTCCCTCAACTTCACCCACCCACTTTCACTCCCACATCCCGCCCCCACCCCCACCCCCACTCCCACCCCACTTTCGCCCTAACTCACCCTCTTTCGTCCTATTTTTTCAGTCTTTTTGTTCTCTCTCACCCTCTGTTGTCCTCTTTCACTTTCACCCTCTTTCACCCTCTTTCCCCCTCTTTTGTCCTCTTTCACCATCTTTCGCCTCTTTCACCCTCTTTCGTCCTCTTTCGTCCTCTTTTCGTCCTTTTTCACCATCTTTCGCCTCTTTCACCCTCTTTCGTCCTCTCTCACCCTCTTTCATTCTCTCTCACTCTTTCATCCTCTTTCACTCTCTTTCGTCCTCTTTCACCCTCTTTCGCCCTCTTTCACCCTCTTTCGTCGTCCTCTCACCTTCTTTCGTCCTCTTTCACCCTCTTTCGACCTCTCTCCACCCTCTTTCGTCCTCTTTCACCCTATTTCGCCCTCTTTCACCCTCTTTCGTTTCGTCCTCTTTCGTCCTCTTTCACACCCTCTTTCGCCCCTCTTTCACCCATTTCGTCCTCTTTCACTCTTTTTCGTCCTCTCTCACCCTCTTTCATTCTGTCTCACCCTCTTTCATTCTGTCTCACCCTCTTTCATTCCCTCTCCCCCCTCTTTCGCCCTCTTTCACCCTCTTTCGTCCTCTTTCACTTTTCTTTCGTCCTCTCTCTCTCACCTTTTCGACCTCTTTCACACCCCTCTTCGTCCTCTTTCACTCTCCTTTGTCTTCTCTCACTCTCTTTCATTTTTTTTCACCCTATTTCATTCTCTTTCACCCTCTTTCGTCCTCTTTCACTCTCCTTCGTCCTCTCATCCTCTTTTATTCTCTTTCACCCTCTTTCGTCCTCTCTCACTCTCTCTCACCTCTTTCACCCTCGTACGTCCTTTCTCACCCTCTTTCGTCCTCTTTCACCGTTTTTTCGTCCTCTTTCACCCTCTTTCGCCCTCTTTCGTCTTTCGTCCTCTTTCACTCTCTTTCGTCCTCTCTCACCCTTTTTCATTCCCTCTCACCCTCTTTCACCCTGTTTCGTCGTCGTCTTTCACCCTCTTTCATTCCCTCTCACCCTCTTTCGTCCTCTTTCACCCTCTTTCGCCCTCTTTCGTCCTCTTTCACTCTCTTTCGTCCTCTCTCACCCTTTTTCATTCCCTCTCACCCTCTTTCACCCTGTTTCGTCGTCTTTCACCCTCTTTCATTCCCTCTCACCCTCTTTCGTCCTCTTTCACTTTCTTTCGTCCTCTCTAACCCTCTTTCATTCTTTCTCCCCCTTTTAATTGCAATGAGTTTAAAAGTAACAATTTAATTTTAATATCATTAGAATATTATTTAGCAGCGCGCCCAGTTTTTTTAACTAAAATTTTATTATTTCTTTTTATTTTATATTAATTTTAAATTTGCATAAGTTTTTAAATTTTAATTTTTGACTTGGCATCTTGCATTTTAGAGCAGATAAATTTTCCAATTTTTGCTGTATCAAATAATTTTACTTTTTTTTTTAACTTTATCGGTGTGTACACACAAAACATTTCTTTGAGTAACATAATCTTATATTATTTAATTTTCTTTCTAAAATATTTATAGCTAATTTCATAAAAATTTTAGATCAGCTTTGACATAGCTTATACATCTTTTTCTTCGGACAATGATTTATAAATCGCTTTTTTTATTTACTCTTATTAAAAGTATTTATTTTAGTAGTAATAAGAAACTACAAATTAAGTAGAATATAAAAGTGGCCTCCTCTGATATTATTAATGAAGAATAATCATGTTTCTCTTGTTACATAACATGTCAAAATATCAAAATTGATAATTTATATATGCCTCCTTAAATGTGTAATAGAGCATATTATAACTTCTACATACATTTCTAAATATAAGAATTAATATTTCAATGAGAAAAACTGCTGGTCAAAAATAAATTCTTCAAGTTTTTTTTTTGCAAGCAATTAATGCATTTAACAGAACAAATCACAGTTCAGTATGAATCATACATGTATTATATATAGAGCTTCGACAATGAAAAGATATATCACTCTTTCTATAGTACGAAAAATGAGGTGGTCAATACATAATAATGATATAAAAATATTAGAATTTAGTTTTGAACTTTGAATATTTAAGATAAGAGAAAAAAAATAATCTTATAAAAGTTTGGGTATCATTCACGGGGCAAGTCAAGAAATATTTTTCAAATTATATATTTTTTAATTCATATTTTAAGGCATTATAAAAAAAGAAAAAAACTAGAAAATTTATGAGAATAGACACGTACAACATATATATGTGCGTACTATACAAGATGCACTAATGCATTCTCTAAAATTTACTTGCTACTGTAAGCAAGCAAACTCTGTAGGATTGCTAGGAACTTAACGGCATTGAGGCAGCTGTCACAAGAACCGAAAGCAATTAATTTTTTATTACTCTAATTATATGTCTATTATTATTTTATTTTTATTATTGTAATTATATTATATATATATATATATATGTTATTCAAGGTGCCAGTTCAAAGTGAACATACGTAAAGTGTATATTATCTAAATTTAGTAATAATATATTACCATGAAAAATAACTGTGATATTTATTCAAGGTGCAAGTTCACATTGAACATACATACATATAAGTAAAACTGATTACAATTTGATTCTAGAAAATAAGTGCGATATGTTATTCTTAGTGCACAAAATATAATAGTCGTTTATAGAGATTTGATTTGAAATTCATACTAGCCCGTACAATGAAAAATAATTGCTCGTAATTCCAGAGTACCAATTTGTTAATTACTCAGAAAAATAACATGGCGGCCTGCTCTCAAAAAACTATGATGTTTCTCGATGTCCATTTAGAAATAATGTCGAAGCTCTTACAGAATAATTACTACAACATTTGAAGTACGAAAAGTATTACAACTCACGTAAATTTCCGCACCATGTTCTACACCGGAACTGTTTTCTTAAAGAAAAAAGTATACATATATGTATATTATGTATAATCTATCATAAATGTATATATTATGCATATGATTTAATATTGTTATATTTACCTTACTAATGGCACAGGTATATCACGTACGCTCTTCCAGTTTTTCAATAACCAAGTATGACAAGTGTCGGATACATTTTTAATCCATCTGATCGAAACGCAGGATTTCTACAAATTATAATATTTATATAACAATATATAGAAGTAATAAGAAATAATTAAGTTAATTAATATGTACAAGCTAGAGAACCATTACTTATAATAAATTGATATACATCTCGTTCAAAGTCAACATTTGGTAAATCTGACATCATGTGAACTATCATCACTTTGAAGACTTTAAATATTCTGATGTATTCGTCTATTATGTGATATATTTTTTTATATTATATATAATTACATATATGCAGTATTGCATATCACATGTTTAGTATATCATAAACATATTCTTTTATAAATATATATTGATACTTTAGGGTATGTTCAAACCCTAAAAGACCTTAAAAGACACTAAAAGTCTCCTTATCCTGCACCATCAAAGTCCATTCTTTGGGGTGTAGAACTACTAAAATATAAAAAAATTTTGAATTGCACGTAATATAACCTGAAAGGCGGCATCGCCACGAGTAATTTGAGCCAAGAAAAAATAAAATCGGTCAAGCCATGTTCAAACCCTAAAAGACCTTAAAAGACACTACAAGTCTCCTTATCCTGCACCATCAAAGTCCATTTTTTGGGGGTGTAGAACTACTAAATATAAAAAATTTTGAATTGCACGTAATATAACCTGAAAGGCGGCATCGCCACGAGTAATTTGAGCCAAGAAAAAATAAAATCGGTCAAGCCGTTCTGGAGATACAAGCGGTCAAAAAGTGACGTTTTTCATGAAAAATGAAGTAACGTCGTCTTCTTCTTCTTCTTCTTCTTTCTTCTTCTTCTCTGTCCGCGTATAAATCTCTTCTCACCTTTCACTCACACCTCCTTCAACTTTCACCCACCCCTTTCCCTTCCCACATCCCACCCCCACCCCCCCCCCACCGCCACTCCCACCCCTCTTTCGCCTCTTTCACCCTCTTTCGTCCTCTCTCACCCTCTTTCGCCCTCTCACCCTCTTTCGTCCTCTTTCACCTCTCTTTCATTCTCTCTCACCCTCTTTCACCCTCTTTCATTCCCTCTCACCCCTTTCGTCCTCTTTCACCCTCTTTCGTCCTCCTCTCACCCTCTTTCGTCCTCTCCTCACCCTCTTTCATTCTCTCTCACCCTCTTTCACCCTCTTTCATT